AAATTTGTTTTTAAATATTTTGAGTTTTTTTTTGTATTTTGATTAATTTTGAAAATTTTGAACATATTTTTAGGCAATCGCACTGCATAGCTGATTTGGAGTCGAAATATGAAAGCGCGCGCGCACACACACCATACACAAACATATATACACACACACATCAATTTTTCTAAGGTATGCCAAATGTTCAGAAACCTCTAAAACGTAAAGATATATAAAAATTTTCATTTTCGATTTTTTTGTGATTACTATAACTTATGTATGATAACTGTACCATCTAGAATTCTGTCATCATAACATTCTTCATAGCTTGTTTATATGTAAATCACGCCTGATCGCACGGCAAATAGATAGACATTTTTACATATTCACTACCAATAAATAAGCATAAGATAGCGTTGCCATTACAACCCCATTTTATGAGGCAGTATTCTTTTACATTTGATTTTTAGATTTAGTTTGCTCGTTAGTAGAGTCCTTTTCTTAATTCTATATTAAGTTTACTCGTCAGTAGAGTCCTTTTCTTAGTTCTAGATTAAGTTTGCTCGTCAGTAGAGTTCTTTCCCATTTGATTTCTGGATTCAGTTTGCTCGTCAGTAGAATCCTCTTTAAAACACAAATGTTGTAATTTGTTGGTTACGTAACACTGGCACAAAAATGTTACATACAGAATATCTCAACAATATATAACAATAACCAGATGTGTGATATTTAGGGGGCAATTCTGCCTATAGCGTGTCATGGTAACGGTATCTTATGCTTGTTTCTTGTTAGTGAAACTGTGAAAAATGTCAATCTATTTGTCGTACGATCAAGCGTATTTTACATATAAACAAAGCAAAGAAGAATGTTATGATAACTACAGCATCCAAGATTCTGTTATCATAACATCCTTCATTTGCATGTTTTTATGTAAAATACGCCTGATCGCACAGCAACTAAATAGACATTTTTACAGATTCCTAACAAACAAAAAAGCATAATAGTAGTAAGATATTGTTAAGGCAGAATTGACCCCTTAGTAAATTTGTTGATAATTACATTTTAGGTTTCAATTATCATTGTTTAATTTAGGCTTTATGGAACTATCTAATGGACTGCAGTGATGTAGAAGCAGCCCTCGGCGAAGAGACTTCAGAACAAACTGTTTGGGTTCTTCTAGAACTTTTAGGTAAGAACCGAACCAAAAAATAGATTTATTTTATAATATAAATATTATAAATAAAAAAATTGTATAAATATTCATAGATGATGGTGGTCCTTCGGACCATTACACAACGACTACGAAGAATTTTACCACGTTGGTGCACAATTAGTTGGTTACATCGAAGGAAATCTGTATGGACCTGATGAGATTACAGAATAGCTCCATTAAGGAATTGAAATTAAAAAAAAACGACATTACTCGCTTTGTCCTTGTAGTGTTTAAACGTTACCGTAACTTTATTGGAAGTCGCCTTAAAAGTTTTTTACTTCAAAAACGTAAAATTTAAGAGTTTTAAACACAAACTATACGTAAATATGTATTAGCGCAAAATAGATTTTATGCACTTGTCAGTCAGAGCAATTTACCCAACACAAACACCAAATTTAAATTATTATAATAATAAATAAATGGTAGTCTGCCCGAATGCAGGTCCATGGTGTGACAGCCACCAAAACAAATGATTTGGCAAAAATTATGGATTATTAAAATTATCAAAATATTAGATATTACTAAATTATTATATATAAAAAAAAAAAAAATATATTCTTATTATAATAAAAATGTCAGAGTGTGCTATAATTGATATTATTATTATATGTACAATATTAATTAAATTTAATACATATTATATATGATTATTAAACAATAATATTTTAAAAAATAAAACGGCCGTTTGATTTCAATATGTCAAGAAATAAATTATCACAAGTATCTTATCTTATAAAATATCTTATAAAAATCGGCTCTAATTTAATTATAAAA